TATTTTAAAGAAATCTAATTAAAAATTAAAAATATAATTGTCTACAAGTATTAATGAAATATATATATATATATATATATATATATAATTAGTATTTGAATCGGGTGTAACAATGTTTAGTTTCTATGTAGGTTTATATGAGATTTATACAGCTTTCAATAAGGAAAAATCATTGCTCTTTCAATAAGGAAGGTTATTGTTGATCAAGAAGTATTATTTATTTTTACTTATATTGTTTTTATTAAGAGCATTTTTTCTCATTAAGTAAGTTATAATATAGTATTTCACTGCAAGTAAATATTGCAGTTTTTTCAATAATTTGATTTTTTTCATTCCTTAAATTCAAAGTCACCTTTTTAGTTTCCTTTACAATAATTTTGCCTTTCAAACCCTCCAATTGCTAATAAAGACCGTAAAAAATTAGCTACTTCATTTTATCTATAGATGAAGGAAAAGTATATCTTTAGGATAGTGTTACCTAGCCATTTCTTTACCTCCTTTTATTAATTAAGTTGGTAACTAATGAAAATACTCAAAAGATATAGCAAGAATCAAAGTACACATGGAGAAGTTTCTTGTGATTTTTTAAAATAAAAAATCTCTAACAAGCTGGTCTTCATAATCTTAATCAATTTTTTTTCCTGTTAGATGACACACTTTCATTTTGAAAATTATTTTCAGTAAATCAATACATCAACCTATAAAGATTAAAATTTCTTGAATATGTTGTTTCAGCAAACATTTACAGGGATTTTTATGTTCTGATGAACAAAAAAAAAAAAAAAGAACTATTCAAGAAGTTGTTATTTTCATCTCTTTTTCATTTTCATCTAACACGGCTTCCTTGTCTACCCACATAATTTTTTCTTTCCAAAAGTGATGATTTGAGAATTGTACTTATACAAAGGTGCATATATAATTTTATCACTTCAAGTCATTGTCTTATAAGTCTTCATTCTAGTCCGTAACTTTAATATTATCTTAATCTTTGATTGTACTTATTTAAAGAATTCAAAATATACTTTGTTTACTTTTAATAGTGAAAGTTTAATCTTTGACTATACTTATCCAAAAAGAAAAAAAAGGAAAATTCTTACAAAAAAAGACATTTCAACATTCAAATTAATTTTTCAATTTCAGACAAGTCAATATAATTAATATTGTAATAAATATAAAAAGTACCTTTATCTCTCTCAATACATTATTATTTATATTAATCTTATTGAATTTAAACTTTAATGTTAAATCCATTATTACTTTTAATGATGTCTTTACTCATCCAAACTTACATTTTCTGTAGAATTTGAGGAGTGTTTCGGTTTCATCCCTGGACTAAACCCTTCCGATATAAGAGTAGTGAGTGAGGGATAAGAATCAAGTTGTAACGAAAATTTGAGTTGGATAAATGACTTTAAGCGATATGTATGATTTTTCATCGACTTAATTTCATGATTTAGCGGCAACATCAGACCAACGCTGCTATATTGCGAACTTCTTGTTAGTGGTGGAAGGGTGCGGAAAGGAATTTTGGATTGACACCTAAAGTTTAAAATTAACGATGAACTAGCTAGAATGTCACTTATAATTTTTTTTTTAATGGAAATTATTCATTATTGACTACTTAACCGCCATCACTTATAATAAAAGTATTACTTTAAAAAATTATTAATGTTACTAAAAATATTTGACCATCGCTGATTATGAATGTCCACCACTACTTATTATTTGTTTTATGTCGTGAATGTAATAGTAAACAAGGATAGAGATCACCAATAACTTAATAGCTCAATTCTTATAGTTATATATGTCAATACCTTAATGAAAGAAAACGAGTTAACAATTTATTCATAAAAATAGTAAAAAAATATTTTTGCATCCTAAGAATAGATTCTCTAATTACCTTTCTAATCAACTCGAAGAGTTATTTATGTAAAGTTTTTATATAAATAACACCGTGTAATTTTTATTAATTAAGTATTATACTGTTCAATAACTTTATATTAAATGTCAATTTTGTAAAACCAACAGTTAGATTGAAAGTTCATATAATTTTATATGTCTATATCAAATTTTGTTAAAATTGAACAAAAACTTGAAGGTAATCAAAATGTTTATATTTTAGTATATTTTAAAATGTATATATTACGTCAATTTTATTTTATAAGAATAAAGTATCAAATTATCTTAGATTAATACAAAATTTTGTATATATGATCTAAGAGTAAAGAACTTTCAATCTAACGGTTGAATTTACAAAATTTACATTTAATATAAAGTTATTGAGCGATGTAATATTTAATAAAAGTTACATCAATGTTATTATAACCCTCTCTCTCTCTCTATATATATATATATATATATGATCATTGAGATTTGATATAGAGCATGAGTTATTGAGATTTAATTACTTTGTTCAATAACTCATGCTTTATATCAAATCTCAATGATCCAACCGTTGAATTTAAAGTTCTTAATGCACATATCAAATTTACAAATTTTTTAAAAATTTAAAAATCATTTGATATTTTGTTTCATTAATTCAAATTGACGGATAATCATAAAACATGTTATCCATCAATTTGAATTAATGAAATAAAGTATTAAGTGATTTTCAAATTTCTTAAAAGTTTGTAGATTTGATCTATGCATTAAGAACTTTATTAAATTCAACGGTTGAATCATTGAAATTTGATATAGAGCATAAGTTATTGAATGAAATAAGTCTAGGTAGACTTACTCCTAGAATAAATGGTTCTTTCTTTCTCTCTATATATATATATGTAACAAGAAAGAGAATACAAGGTATAAGGAATACTCATTCCATACATACAAGTCACGATTACAGAAAAGAAAAGTGAATACGGTATCCTCTCCCCTATAAATAGTAAAAGTAGCTCCCCTGCCCAACTGCCACATAGAAGTTGTTTTCAAAAAATTGTTAAATGTGAATACACCATTTCATGCAAATCATCCTAATTGAACCTCCAACCTATTACACCCAACAATTACTTTTGCATATCCATTGCCCCGAATTGTTGCACCATTGTGAGAAATAGTAATGGAAAGATTTATGCGATGTATGCAGCCAAAACCAGGAAGTAAAAAGAATGTCTTTGAGCACTTTGTTATTGTCAAATTGTCTACTTTTAAAAACATAGTCGTTTCTATGTCTCTAAATACACCATGTTGTAGCACACCATATTATGTGCTACATTTCCATCTTTGAATCTGTTTGAAGCGATCCTAGTAAAAGACTAAAATGTTGTACAATTTGTTGTGGTAGTGGTGTGGGACATGAATCTGAATGATCTTTATGGAAGATTACATGCCTCAGGACTTGGTGTAAAGACTGCTCTTGATAACTCCCATTCAAACTAATTCCTACATCATCTAAATTCCCAAACCGAACTATTATCCCTCCACTACCCCATATCAACAATTACATCATTTTTCTATTTTGAATTAAGATAAAACCTAGGGAAGGTGATTGCTAGACACTATTCACTGACCCAATTATCAAGCCAAAATCTAGTTCAAGTGCCTTCCCCAATCTTCCAACACACTAATTTATCAAAACATTTATCTACATTCACAACACCAAAAATGATTTTTTGTGACAATTTTTATGTTATTTAGCGACCATACAAATGACCATTAATATCTTTATCGACAATTAGATTATGACCGTTGTATGTAAGGTCGGTAAAATTATTAGTGACTTTTAAAGTGAGTGATGGTAAAGACCTTTTAAATGGCCGGGAAAAATAAAAATTTTTAATGACAATTCTAGTGACAATTTTAATGGCCACTAAAAGTAATTTCATTGAATAATAGATTCTCATATATGTAAAAAAAAATTGTATAGAAATACAATTGAATTTTATTAGATAAAATAATTTATTTTGATAGCATATTGATACTCAATTAATTAAATTCAATTAAATAAAATTATTTTTAGTCCATGCATTGAAATTGATGAGGGAATCAAATTCAATTTTTCATCCATTGATTTTTTTTTTTAAAAAAAAACTACTTTCTTTACTAATATTCTCATCCACCATTTCTCATAAAAATAATGAGAATAATAAATTTTTTATATGAGTACTCCATATTTGCAATAACACCAAATACCTATTTATTGGAGTAATGCAAAATTTATGAGTTTATCATGTCCTTGAGATACCAAGGAAACCATTAAAAAGACAATGAATAGTCAATGATGTCATGATCCAAAGAAATTACATAATTTCATTTATAAGATAATTAATATTATATCCCTAAAGAAAGCAAGGTCTCTTATGATTTAGAGCTATTTGCTAAAATGTCTAAAATGTCTCTTATGATTTAGAGCTATTTGCTAAAATATCTAAAAGGTCTTCATCAATTGCAATTGAATCCTGCAAAGCACAAAATAAACAAATGTCCTCCTTCAATGCAGGTTCATCAATTTCCTGTTAACAATATAACATTTAATGTACTATCAAATCAAATGCAGTATTACAACAAAGGAATAACATGTGCATAAGAAATGGATTAGGCTCAATAAAACTTATCATTCTATTGTTTCAATAATTTTATCATAAAATAAAACAAACTAATTCTACCATGCACGTCTTAAATTTAAAGGAAAAACTGTGAAATGAAATTAAGTAATACAATGTCTAATAAATAATTACCATTCATGAATAAATTGGCAATTGTCTTTGCTGCTAGTATGCGAACAACTTCATCATTATCTTTTCTAGTAAGCTTGAGCAAGGAAGTGAGGTCATCATCTTGAACCATATTGTTTTTGTTAACCTCTACATATTATAATAAATCAAATTACTATAAAAAAAAATTAAATACTCTAAAAAGAAGCAACGAGATTTTTTTAAAACCTGTTTCCACTATAACAATTGGAATTTTAGTTGATTGTGATTCTACAAATCCAAACAAAAAGGTTGAGAAATTACAAAAGTAACTTAAACCTCTTTAAGAAAAAATAGCATGTGTAAAACAAGAAGACATGGGCCAAACCTGTTTTTACAGTTACAATAGATTTTGTAGGTAATTGTGATTCTGCAAATCCAAAAAGAAAAATATGTAAGCTATAGAATAGAAAAAAAATTCAACCAGGATATCATATGCTGTCATACAAAAAAAAAAGACTAAAACAAGCTACATGATAAATAGATATTATTAAATAAATAAACACAAATGAATACTGCTTAAGAAACCAGATTATACTTGTGGTCTACAGGAGTAGGAGTATGAAGAATATGAAATAAGGTACAGAGGAATCCATCATTTAGAAGCACCTGAAATGAGAAGGCACACTATCAACACACTAGACGGTGAACCTGAAAACGCCAAAAATAATTAATTTCTCTTGTACTTTCAAATATGCATCAACCACTCCTAAGAAAACAGCTTCAGAGTCCAAATCAGATTAATATAGAGTAGAACAACTGAAGAATTAACTACACAGAACCCCAAACGTAAGCACCATGCATGCACACAAAAATGAACCCAAACAGGACCCATAGCAAATTCCCTTCAATTAAAGCTAAAAAACGATTTGAAGAACAATTTGCATCACATATGTGCCATTTCATATCTAATCAGGAGCCATAATGCTGGTTCGAACAACATGAACTACATTGTTTCATATCTCTTTTTTGGAAGTGTAGTGTATCTCATTCTCTTGGTTTCAGTGATTGGACTATGCCTCAAATGAATCTGTTGCAGTTAATATTTGGCTTGAAGGTCTTTTCTCTGATGAGAAACCAGGACAAAGAGCCATGAAATTATCAAAACCTTTCAAAGTGACCACATGTTTTAATCTTTAAAAATGCAAGTGTTAGCATATCTGTCTGAATATACATATATATATATATCCTTTTGTTACATGATTTTTCATTTACAGTCAAGTATAGACCAAATTGTTCCATTGTAAGGATGTAAAAAGAAGATTAGTTTACCAGTTTAGGACCCTCATCATAATCATAGGACAGTGCTGCAGCTACCAATGCATCCATGCTATTATGAACTGGCAAATTCCCCTAACAAGGTCATCAGCAAGAAATTAAAATCTCACAATAAAGTCAAAGTTAATTCCTGTAAATGTAAGAGAATAGACATTCAAACCTTAACCGGCAATTTTGGAGGTTTATTTAGCACAATAATAGCCGCTGAAAGTAATAATACATTTGAGCACAATATGTAGTGAACAAAATATATTTCCATGCAATTTAACAACAAGAATACTAACAGAAAACTGTAATATAAAATAGAGATGATATTCAATGAAAGCCATGCCTTGTAAATCAGAAGCCTTTGAAGATACTTAATTTCATCAGCATTTGGATATAGTGTTCCACTTGGAATAGCATCATATCTTTTGGAAATCCTAGTCTCAGCAATAGATACAGGAACATGAACTCTGACACCACGTTTCATCACTTCATTAGGTCTAATATGCAGTTAAGCAGTATAGTTGTAGTATTATTAAACCTAAAACAAATCATAAGCAATTGACTAAAATTTATTGTTGAAAAACAGTGTGAGAATAAAAGAGACAGACAGAGGGAATTACCCAAAATGAGGTTTTTTTTTTCCTAGAAAATGGTGAATTAATAGGATACATGTAAACATGAATACCTTTCGCATGGGTTTCCTCAGCTCTTCTTTCTGAGTGGAAGAGTCATCAGCAACAAAGTCCTCCATTTGCACCTAGAATAGGAAATTATCAATATAGCCTGTAAATACACTTCTCAATTATCATATCTATATCTGACCATCATACATGAAATAAATATTATTTGATACAAAACGTAAATCATGCTATCTTGTTAGCTGTTCCAATTTGCATAGTAAATAGAATTTTATGAGGATCTCCCTTGTGTAGTACACCAACAGAATATTCAAAAGCATCATATATACAACAGCATGCACTTCCTTGCTAAATCAGTTCTTCAAGGTGCCTCCAGGACCACCCAATTTAACTTTATGACCATCTTGCATATGATGTAAAGGAATTACAACAATTGGAATTTGGAAACAAACCAAGCCCTTATGTTTAAGATTAAATTAAAGTACAACCTGAATATGAAAAGTAATTTCTGAACCACGAAAGGTTTGAGCAAATTTAGTTACTTACTTAGAAACCAAGGCCAACTTCAAGCACAATATTTTGTAGATGGCCTTTTAAAGAATTGAACCTACAATATTATAATTTATAATCACTTGCTAATCCTGAAAGTCTAGGTCTTAATCTATGTTCCTCAAGTGCAAGGAGATTCAACCTCCTGTTAATTCTACTAGAAAAAGTCATAACAAAAACTGTGTAATCAATTTAAGGCAATGTCAATAGATTAGGCAGCAGGGGAAAAAAGTGCCAGTGTAAATACAATAAAATAGTAGATACTTACAAGACCCCCCCTGAAATGGGATTCAATGACAGAGCATGATCAACATAAAATAAAATAAAATAAGTGTCTCCATAAACTAAAAGGAAAATTACACTAACCTCCTCCCTCGAAGCAACTTATACATAGCAACAGAGCATGATCAACATGAGCCTAGCAACTTACCTTCCGAAACCAAAATTTCCAAACATTCCAAACATAACTATTTTGTATTTAAAAGATTAACACAAAAAGCACAATCAAATCAAAACAATCATTCTGTAATAGAGAGATGGAGATAGAGAAAGAGTTTGAAATGGAAAAAAAAAATGAATCGTGCAAAACAAACCCTAAAATTGAAATTGAAGACAAAATCACAAGAGATATTACCACATGAAGATCCAAAAGGAGAATGAGTTGACGCAGCCATTGAAGCTATGCGCAAAAGATAGAAGAAGCCATTAGTGAGAGTGAGAAGCGAGAGTGAGAGTGAGAGTGAGAGTGAGATGACGGTGAGAAGTGAGGTAAAGTGTGAGGAATTTTTTAAAACAGAAGTTCAAATAAAAATTAATATTAACATAGTTTTAAAAAATTGTCACTATGAATAAAGTTTTACCGGCTAATTTTTATTGGCCACTAAAAGTTTTAACTAATAATAATATGCAGACAATTATCTTATTGTCACTAAATAATAGTCGCTAATGATATTTTTTGTTGTAGTGATTTTCACTATTGTAGGCATTTAGTAAATCACGCCACCAAATAGAGTCTTTGTTTGAGGCATTTCTTGTGCAAAAGTTACAACATCCTCCGTACCTTGATAATAACACTTTTCCCCACATAGAGTTTGGCTGATGGAAGATATTCCATCTCCATTTTGCCAAGAGGGCTACATTGAACTCAAATATGTTTTCTCCCCGTAAACAATCATACTCTTTTGGATGAATTACCTTGTCCCAACTTTGGTATTTTGGAAAAAGATAGATAGAATAGGAGCAAAATGTTAATATTGAGTTGATTAAGCATACCTTCCCAGCCATTAAAAAGGTCTTTTATGAAGTTTTTTTTAAGATGACCTTTTGTGATATTTTTTTATTCGATAAAGAAGTATAACTCATTTTCATCAAATAAAATAATATCTCTCATCACGATTTGATAATAATACATGATGACATTTCTCATAAAATGCAACGTCTCAGAAAATGAAGCAACAATTGCTTGCTGACAGAAGCCACAGAACACAATATATAAATTAATAAATGGTTGCATTGGTGTCATGGACTCTTAAACTTATGCGTATTAGAGTCTACGTAAAGATCATCACTATTCACTAGCTTTTGAACACGTTGGAGATCAAAATTGAAAGTGTCTTCGGAAGAAAAAAGCGCAGACAGCCAAAAGGTTCATGGAAAACGGCGACAACCCTAGAGGGTTCAATAAGTATGTCTGTTCCTCTGTATTAGCTGCCACTACTGTCTCAGCTATATTTGGTTATGGTGAGTATGTACGTACATACTTAAATCTCAAATATGTAGTTTTGTCAATCTAATCACTAACAAAAGTGCTTTTATACATTTGTTGTGACTTTGATTTAGAAGAATATGTTTCAGGAACATGTATGTAAAAAAAAAAAAACAATGTAAATTAAATGACCTGAAATAGTTTGTACTACTAGAATTTCTCTTATTACATGCGATTTTTTATGCAAATTTTTCATAAAAATTTGCAGGAAACATTGTTGCTACAAATTTTTCTGCGAAATTTTATCTGTAAGTGTAATACCTTCGTAAATATATAATATTTTTTTTGCGAATTTTAAAATTAGCAAGAAATTTTCTTGCGAAAAAAATTCGCAGGAAAGTTTCTTGCGAATCTTTTTGTAAGAAATTTTGCAGAAATATTTTTTACAAAAAAATTAAAGAAATTACTACAAGTTCTATCAATAATTCTTCAACTTTCAAATGCTCACAATGAGTTTATCCAAAACATTTGTTTCCACGCCTCTAACATGTGATACATAATCTTTTAAATTTTAAGATTGTAGATTATAAGCCTAACACTCAATCATACAAATCAACTTGTAAGGTAAGTGTTGTCCTAAATTATATACTCTTTAATTGTTTTATTTTTAATCAATGTGGGACTTGAAGTTTTTTTAAAATATTACTTATAAATTTAAATAATTTTTTTTCGTGCGAATTAAAATTGACTGGAAAATTCGCAGGAAAAGTTACTTACAAAATTTTTCTACTATTTAGTAAACATTATTTACGAATTTATTTTTGTAAGAAAATTTGCAAGAAACAAAATAAAATTCTTACAATATTTTTTGCAAATTTTTACCATGAATTTTTTTTTCTATAATCATTAAAATTGTAGCAATATTGGCAAAACTTTCTTGTAGATTATTTTTCATAAAAATATTTATAAGAAATATCTATAAATTATTTTTTTTAAATAAATTCGTAAATTTTTTTTTTGTGAAATTACTATTGCAAGAAAATTTATAAAAAAATTTTGCGAATATTTTTCTATGAAATTTTTTTTAAGAAAATGAGATTTTTCTAGTAGTGTCGCCAACAATTTTTCATTAGCTAGAAAAAATCAGCTAACAAACGATAGATATTATTATTCTTTAGTTGTGGGAGTGATGACCGGAGCAGTCATATTCATAAAGGAAGATCTTCAAATCAATGACCTACAAATACAATTCCTCGTAGGCATGTTACATTTGTGCATGCTACCAGGATGCATGGTTGCAGGAAGAACATCTGATTATATAGGTCGCCGCTACACCATCATTCTAGCGTTCATCACCTTCTTATTGGGCTCCATTTTAATGGGCTATGGCCCATCCTATTCAATCTTAATGATTGGAAACTGCATTGTTGGAATTGGTGCGGGTTTTGCACTGGTAGTAGCACCGGTTTACAGCACAGAGATTTCACCTCTTTCTTCAAGAGGCTTTTTTACTTCTCTCCCAGAACTTTCCATGAACATAGGAGTCTTGCTTGCCTTTGTGTCAAACTACTTCTTTGAAAAAATGACACTGAGACTTGGATGGAGGATGATGGTGGTTATTCCCGCAGTTCCTTCACTTTGCTTAATCATTCTCATGTTAAAATTGGTGGAGTCTCCAAGGTGGTTGATCATGCAAGGACGTGTAGGTGAGGCAAGGAAAGTGCTTTTACTAGTGTCTAACACAAAGGAAGAGGCTGAACAACGGTTGAGGGAAATAAAAGCTGTTGTTGGAATTGATGAAGATTGCACCAAAGACATTGTCCAGGTTGCAATGAAAACCCGTAGTGGTAAAGGAGCACTGATAGAGTTATTTTGTGAACCTTCACCTTCAGTGCGTAGGATTCTAATTGCAGCCATTGGGGTTCATTTGTTCTCGAGGATTGGCGGAAGTGGGGGTATTTTGTTGTATAGCCCAAGGGTTTTTGAGAGAACAGGAATCGCTGAGAAAAGCAAGCTCATGCTAGCAACTGTTGGCATGGGAATCAGCAACGTTGTGTTTGCATTCATATCAATATTCTTGTCTGATAGATTTGGGAGGAGGATTCTCTTGTTGATTAGTGCTTGTGGTGTGGTTGTGAGCCTATTAGGGTTAGGCTTTTGCTTGACTATAGTGGAGCATTCTAAAGAAAAACTACTTTGGGTAACAAGCTTAACCGTTTTCTTTACCTACATATTTTTGGGTTTTGTGTGTATTGGAATAGGGCCTGTGACGTGGGTTTATAGCTCCGAGATACTTCCCCTCAGGTTCAGAGCACAGGGCCTTGGTGTATGTGTGGTTGTGAACAGAATCACAAATGTGGCAGTAGTTACAAGTTTCATTTCGATTTACAAAATGATAACAATGGGTGGGATTTTCTTTATGTTAACCGGCATCAATGTTTCGGCTTTATGGTTCTACTATTCATTTTTGCCTGAAACTAAAGGAAGATCGTTAGAAGATATGGAGACTATCTTTGGAAGAAATTCTAAGTAAGAGATATACTACAAATGAAGCCTGTGTGCAACAAAGAATGATGATGATGGATGGTTGATAAGTAGTTATTATTTTTTTGTGTTATTACTTTAAGAGTTTTTATGGTTGTTATTAGTACTAGTAAACAAAAAAAGGAGACATTTAATTCATGTCTCTGCTAATTAAAATAATTGGAATAAATTACTTAATTCACTTTTTAAAAATGAAAAAATTGAGTAAATTAATTAAGAGTGTAAAAATATTAAATAAAAATTGTAAATACCAGATTAGGCTATATTCTTTTTTTTAATGTTATAGACATATTTTCATACGTATATAATTAAGGCTAATTCTAACGAATGTCATTAAATAATGTAAAAAAATAAATAAATTATAAAAGTATAATTGTTTCTAATTTTGATTTTAAATTTTTATCCTCCTTGAGAAGTAAATGTGTTATAAGTTATTATACTACACAAGTTTTTAAGAAATTTTTTTATCTCACTGTAATTTTTTTGTTATCATCCGAAATTAGTTTTGAACTTCTATTGTCAATTTTGAAACGTTAAAAGATAAAATAAAGATTTTGGGTGAAATTTTAAAATTAATATTTAGAGTATTTTTTTCTTCCTGATGAATCCTTCAAAATTAGTACTCCCTCATTTTTTCTATGTATTTTGGAAGATAATAGACAACCGAAGAAATGCAATAAACAACTTTATTTATATTAAATTCACTCTTTTTTCTTAATGCAATATTCAATTGTAATACTATGGGATTTTAGCTTTATTAATGAATTATACGAATTATATGATTAATGATTGAATTATTGTAATTATTATTGTTTTAGAGCTCTAAGGGTTAAAGAGATTTTTTAGAGTTAAGTTGTTATTAAAGTAATTTTAATTAAGGTTAAATTGACCAAATTTAAGAAATGATATATAAAATTTTCTTAAGATGTGAATTTCATAAATTCATATATTGAGAAAAGTGAAAAAGAAAAGTTTTGGAAACTAAGAGAGATTCTTCTAGACTTTCCTTCTTTTCTTTTTGGGCAAAAATATCTATATTACTTAGGTACAAGGGGTACCATAAATAGAATAGAATTGAGTAATTGAAGATTCAAGTTTTAGAAGTTGAGAATCTCCGGTTGAGAATTGTACATAATTTGTAAGTTATTGAATGGAGTAAGTCTACCTAGACTTCCTTCTAGAATAAAATGATTCTTCCTAATATTATATATATATATATATATATTAGTCTCTTTATAATTACCTTTCTATCACCTCAAAAGTTATTTCTATAAAGTATATCAACTAGAATTAAAGGAGCATTAAACGGGTGACCTTTTACAATGAAGCAACCATTGCTTGCTTAAAGAAAATAATATATATAAACCATGGGCTTTATCATGATATGCGACGTCTCAGGGAATGAAGCAACAATTAGTTGTTTGCTTAAAGAAAATAATATATAAAATAATAAATAATTCGTGTCGTGGACTCCTAACTTATATATATATTAGAGTCTACGTAAAGATTATCACTATAGCTTTGAACACTTCTCAGATCAAAATTAAAAATGTCTAAAGGCTGCCAACAACAGTCCATAGAAAACGGTATTCGTGAAAATGGGGACAACCATAGAAGGCTCAACAAGTATGCCTTTGCCTCTGTGTTAGCTGCCTCTATTGTCTCTTCTATATTTGGTTATGGTGAGTTTTTTTTTTTTTTGTCAGCAAAGAAACATGTTATTAAGAGAGAGGGTAGTAGGTACAAAAAGTACCCTACTCTAACATAGATAGAAAAACATACTGAAGTAGAAACTAAAATCCTCTTCCCCTCAAGTGAATCTCCCTCCTACTAGGATAAAACTCATGATACACATTAACGTTGTAAATAAGACAGCTTATCAATTATAATCAAAGCAAAGAAACCCAAGACCTATGTACTAAGCCAGACCACAGCTTGTCACTCTAAAGCTTACAAACATCTGTTTCAGCCTAATCACAACCTGTCTGTAACACATTAGATAGGCAGAATCCCGAATTTGCAGACCATTGGATAAAGGGATACTCAAAATTATCATTCATTAACTTCAGCCGGTATGTAATGTGTACCTTATCTCAAGTATAAATGTCTCTCTGTTTTTTTTAACAATAGCGGCAATGAAGTTAGGTTTAAACTTACAACCTTCTACCGATTACTCAAGCATATATATATAGTCGTTCCTATACACACTGTCAGAATTTTAGTTAGTGAGAACAATATTCATATATAAACTTGTAGCATTAAAAATGGAATAACTTTACTTTTTTGAAATATTTAAAATTAATTTTTATGAAATATTTATAAATAATTTAGTAAAATAATATTTTGTTAAGTAAATACTTTTGATTTTAAAATATTATGAATTATCATTCAATTAAAACTCATTATCATTAATTTATCATATTTACAAAATTTTATATATTTAATTTAATTTAATTTAAAATTAATTATAATGATATATTTATAAATAATTTAGTAAAATCATATTTTTTAATTAAAAATTTTAATTATTAAGCTTATAAATTTAAATATTTTTTTATTTTTCTCACAGGTTAAAAACTAAAACTACATGAAAAATTACTTGCGAAATTTTTCTACTATTTATTATAATACTAATAAATATTACTTGCGAATTTATTTTTGTAAGAAAATTTACAAGAAACAAAAAAAAACTCTTACCATATTTTTTACAATTTTTACCATGAATTTTTTTTATGATCATCAAAATTGTAGCAAAATTTGTAAAAAAAATTTTTTTATAGATTATTTTTCATAAAATATTTGTAACAAATTTCTGCAAATTATTTTTCGCAAAAAAATTTCTATAAATTTATTATTGCAAAAAAGTCCACAAAAAGTTCTTGTGAATATTTCTTTTGAGAAAATTCAAAAATAATATTAGTGGAATAGCGAAGTCAAATTTTCATGAGCCCCCCAACCACTAGCCTACGAAAGTTGTGAAATGTATACAACCAAATAAAATTAAATTACGTGGAATAGTTTGGTTGTGATTTTCATTAGTCATATATAGAAATTAAATCATGTAATAAACGATATTATTATTCAGTGACAGCAGTGATGAGTGGAGCACTGATATTCATACAGGAAGATCTTCAAAGCAGTGACCTAGAAATCCAACTCCTCGTAGGCATGTCCCATTTGTGCGCCCTACCAGCAAGCTTAGTCGCAGGAAGCACATCTGATTACTTAGGTCGCCGCTACACCATCATTCTAGCCTCTATCGCCTTCTTATTGGGCTCTGCCCTAATGGGCTACGGCCCATCCTATCCAATCTTAATGATCGGAAACTGCATTGTTGGAGTCGGTGTGGCTTTTGCACTCGTAGTAGCACCCGTTTACAGCACCGAGATTTCACCTCCTTCTTCCAGAGGCTTCTTCACCTCTCTCCCAACTC